TAGAATTTGCTCCTTGCACTACACTTTCACAAAACACGTATGCTCTGGTCGGCTGCCCGCTAGGAACTGATTAATGAGTAGAACGGTAGAATAATTCAAATAATAGAATGGAATTTTGGAATTATTCGAGAAGTAACGGCGCATCAAATGTAATCCATAGTAAGGGTGAAAATATGTTGAAAACACTATTTTTTTAAAGGAACACTACCATTTAGATTAGTGACAGAGGATAGAGAAATGAAAATTAAGTAGAAAATTTATCCAAAGTTAATTGGTTTTCTATGAAATGGGAATTTTTAAGTTTTTGTGTTGTATCCCTGTATTTTGACACATAATAAGAAGCCATTTTGGGTTTGGTGAAGTAGTTCTACGCCACATACCTACAACTTTCATAATTTTAGTTGTAAAATACAAGTAATATTTTCTAGTATAATATGTGTAAAATACAAAGGTCTTAAGGGATTTATATTTATTGTAAAAAAGACGAGCTGTCACAGGTACAGATACTCCTATGTCATTATTAGACTGTTTTTGAACTGATACTGATACACCACAATACCTTATACAGCTAGGTATTAAATATAAATTAATTGTTAGTGTTTTAATTTAGACTGTTGTTTATTTACACGAATCCCAAGAATAATATTAATTGACGTCAGAAGTTAACAAATCTGCACTAAAACTTTTTTTTAGTAAGTATGATTGAACTCACAGTTAAAACATTGGATGCTCAAAATCATCATTTTTCTGTAGAAGATGATGTAAGTTAAAATGTGTAATACAACAAGATGGTAACTACTCATTGTATTATTTTATAGATAACGGTGGAACAGTTTAAAACCAAAATTGCAGAAACGGTAAACATTCCTCCAGAAACGCAACGAATCATTTACTGTGGAAGAGTTTTACAAGATAGTTCAAAACTTGCCGATTATGGTATGTATGTTTAACTTTCAAATGAATAGGTTTTCACAAGATTTTGTAGTCTAAAACAATTTTCTTACTTCAGTTACACCATATAAAAAATTAATGGCTTTACTCGTACTTTTTATTTATAGGAAAAACTTTTTATTACTGTTTGATTCTAGAACAATTCTATAGATGACAAGTTCATGTTGCAATTGCATTGATCTATACAGATACTGGTTTCTCATTTTTTATTAATTTTTGATAAGATTACACTTCAAATATCTCGTCGAGTTATGGTTGTAGTTACTAATGTCTGTATTGTCTGTTACCATTGGCAGTATGTAGTACTTTTGTATTTAATTGTTATTTTTGCCATATTAAGGGCAAAAAGAAATTAAAGTATTTATAATATTATATTTTGGCAACCATGACAATACATAAGCCGGAGTTCGTAGCAGCCTAGAAAACCGGGAATACCGGGAAAAGTCGGAGAATTCATTATTCTTCATAAAAAACAGGGAATAGTCAAGGAATTTTAAAAGTATTCATGAAAGTCAGGGAATTTGATGTTTGCTACTGGAGATTTTGTAAAAACCATCCCTGGGTTCTTGAAAGAGAAAACTATTTGTGTTTTTGAAACCTTTATAAGAGGTTCTTTGGGTATAAAAAAGATTATGGAGTCCAGTCTAGAAAAAGTGTAATGCATAAACACGTCTAGAAAAGTGTAATGCATAAACACCAATTAGTGTGTAAAAAAGACGTGCAAGTGACCTGATTTTTTTTTTATAAGGAAACCTGAAAAAGTCGGGGAATTCTATATTACTTTTGAACTATGAACCGTGATAAGCACATTTCCTGTTATTACAAGGAAATAAAAGATAAACGTTAAACAACTATAAATAGAAGTATAACATAACTGAATGAACGTTTATAACTTTTAATTTTTACAGATAAAGAGAAAACTTAAAGAAATTGATTTTCCTTTTTAGTATGGCAAAACGCAAGTACCTAAATACAGACATAAATGTTTTGATAGTTCTGCAATATCAGTCTGTATTTTTAAAATTAAAATATCGAGGTAGTCTCTTTTTACTCATTTGATACATATGTCAAAACAACAACAAAGTTTGTAATGGGTCTACATTCTCTACATTTTAGATGTCAATGGGAAAGTTGTCCATTTGGTACAGAGAGCGCCACCAGGCGCTGCTCCGAGACCAAACAGTAGATCTTCTTCACCACAACCTCAACGTAGAGGGTTTAGAGGTTTTAGAGGTCTGGAACAAGGGAATGCGATGTATTTGGGCTCTATGGCATTTCCCGGCAATTTAATGGAATCGCAGGGCATTGTTCCTCCTCCTCCAACACACAGCCTTTCTGGAAGTCGTTTGAATGTGGCAAAGAGGTTCAGTTTCTCATTTTAACAATTAGATGTTTAATCATAGCACTTAACATTTTCAGAATGTTGAGAAGAGCTGAAGCGGTCATTCAGCTTTTGGAAAACCCTTCAACGAGACCTCAGGAGCAAAGTCCCCCTGAAGAAAATCAAGAAGAGGAAGTGACCCCTGTAATAGAAGCAAGAGTAATCGTTCCCACCAACAACAGTGAATCGATCGATGAAGCAATGGTTCTTAATGCAGTTCAGAATTCCTTGATGAATGCAGCAACTGGAGCTGTGTAAGTGAATAATCTTTACACAATTGTCTTCTTGCGATTATTTGTCATTTATATATCTGGTTTATAAATGATACCTTTCTTGTTACCTTTTTAAATGCTAAACTTCAACGGATGTAAAGACATGGTTTTTACATATCCAGAAGTAAGAATAGAAGCATAAAAACACTATATTGAATCATAATGTAATAGAATGAAGCTGTGCTGACATTCAGCCATTCTTGTTGCGTTGAATTAACGTAGCAGTTTGTTTTTTACCCGTTTACTATCCCGACATATCGCACCAGGTGTGAAGTCAACTCCAACATTTTATCTTGTTTCATGGCCGGTGCGTCTGTGATTTTTCGTCCCATTACACAGCCCTACAAAAAAAAAAAAAAACTAACGGATCTGATATTCAGACCCATGTATTTCTGTATATTTTTTTCCACTGAATCAGAATCTGCCTTCAAATTTGGCCCAACGGGTCTGAGTTTTCGGAAAAACTAAAAAAACAGGTCAAAATTTACAGAAAACGTCATTTACGATCGGCGAAAGTTATAGAAAGTCAAATTATTCTCACTAGACGTATGATTTTTCACTCGTTTAATTCCAATTTATCATCATAGAGTCAGACCAGCTTGTCAATTTCATTCAAAGACAGAAAATAGATCAGAATGCTTAAAAATGCCATTTTCATGGCATAATTCGTGTTGCAGAGTTCTGGATCCATCTTTTTATCCACCCACCCATTTATGAATTCATACATCTTTCTATCCAGTCGTTCATGCATGAATACGCATATTTATCCATCCACCTGTACCACCTATAAAACCCACCCATCCACCCATCTATCCATCTACTTTTTGTGCTGAGAGATGAGATAAAAGCCTAGAAGATTGAGAATGCATTAAAACTTGTAGAATACTCTACTTTCTAAAAAAAAGAACACAATATATACAAATCATTCTTATTTTTGTTGCTATAACGTGTTCTCTTTTCTTCAAAGGATCTATGCAAAGGGTTATGCTTTCGTTTAGTCCCTATATTTTTCGTTTCTCTTTTTGACCTGTTTTTTGAATTTTCCCGAAAACTCAGACCCGTTGGGCCAAATCTGAAGGCAGATCGGATTCAGCGGAGAAAAATAGATGGAAATACATGGGTCTGAATACCAGATCCGATACTTTTTTTTTGTGGTGCTGTGTTATTAATGTGATCAGAATTGCATCATTGGTTTTGAATCGACTAAATTAAAATGCTTTTGAAGCAGTCACTCTGCCATCTTAACTCGTGCCAAAGGCAGCTGGTCTCGTCTTCAACTTTCATGACATCTTCATCAGTCAATACGAGTTTTTTCAGAAATGTGTCGCAGGAGTTTTCTTTGTATTTCAGCACCAATTAACGTACTTATATAGAAGTTATGACATTTCTAAAATCTGCTGAACAAAAGTCTTTGTTTGATGCAAGAAACTCTCCTAGCATCAATAAATCAATTCTAGGCAAATTAATTAATTAATTTGCCTTTGTGAATCCTTGTTCCATGGCTAACGTTTCCTGATTATAGGTTTGGCAACGCAAAACTAAGCAACTGATATTTAAACGAAGATACATGCTGCGGATATTGTTGAAGTACAAATAAAATAAAATGACGTTTACATAGATGTGACGTAATTCGCTCAAATGGGTGTTCATCCTAACATGGCGGTTTGCTGTATTTTGTAGTTTTATTTTATCAAAAATATTATCAATCTCGCTCATAATATAAAAATAAATACGCTTTTTATAATCAATGAATCATATTTCGTTAGATAAATAAATAATTTTAGTGATTCTTGGTTACTGTCATCATGCCTATTATATATTTCCTTCTTTCAATTATTATTTTTTACCTTGGCAACAGCGCACGAGTATGCTGAATTTATTATTTGTAAGTTAACAGTAGTGACGTCTCGTGACATTGAGAATAGGTGAAGCATATTCATTGATTGACTAAAATGAAAAAAAAAGCGCCGCAGGTGAAAATTTTCAAGGTCAAACGGCTTTAAATGAATCTGGAAATTTTTAGTTGCATTTGCAATATTTCCGAAAAACTGACATTCGTGAGAAGGATTTTCATTTAGATTTTATAAAAAATAGAAATATTACTTCGGCTTGTGGACTTCTGCGAACAGTAACGCACACCATACATATATGTTCTAAAAAGCTTTGTGGTTACGACAGTCTTGCTTGACTTTCCCAAAATTGTTAAATCCTCCCATATTCCACATGCCGGACTTTACACCCACAATTAAACATGGCATACAGAAATTTTTTTTAAATAAACACTAATACAACCACTTATCCAAATACCATTCATTCCGAAACTTCCGAACGTACACATTGTCTTTTGACTTCCCCTTTTTTTCCATATCGAGAGATTAAGGCACAGGTCTCTCGCAATTTAAAAAATCCGTTTTGTCCTCAATATCCGCATCACTCGTTCTCCTACGCCATAATTTTCTCCTATGTTGGCCGCCTCGTTGCCATGACAACCGCTGTAAACAACGCTTCGAAGGGAAGCGGAATTCAGACTGTTTGATCTGCGTCACTTGTGTATACTAAACATTGGACAGTTTGAGGTTGATGTTCACGCTCAACGAAGGCAATGTTTTTTTAGAAAGTGTTCACCGCACAACTATTCTGTTTATTTCTGCGTTATACCTAAATTATAAAATTTATATAAAATTCAAAATAATTTTAAATTGCACAACCAAACAGAAATGTTAGGTGAAGCGGTACATCACTTGCGTCACCTGACGAGCCGCCACTGGTTGGCAGTCCTTGCTATGTATATAGGTGCACAATGCATGTGATAGAAAGGAAAATTATGAGCAAAAAAAGTATGAGTGCTTGAGAATTGCTGAACAGAAAATAGCAAACGCAGGAAAAGCTGTTGAAGAGAAGATTGTGGAACCAGAACCTCCGTACACCCTTTGAGTGTATCAACTAATTGACATAAGAGTACATGGCACATAGCATGCACTATTCTTTTTGCAAAGAACTATTACATATTTCAGATTACACAGAGCAACAAAATTTGACGAAAGATCACACCCAAAAACCAGACGTCCAAATCCGGCGTCAGAATTACTCCTATATGTCACGTTTCCGAGATATTCTAACCTAAAACTGCAAAAAACAGTTTTTTTTTTATTATATTTGAGCTTATATCACAGAGCGAAAACTTTTTTTTTCTAAAAACGAATCATGCCTTCTAAAACTACTACTCTTACCCTTCAAAAAGTTTTTTTCAGATTTGAAAAATCTTTTTTATTCACAGAGATATCATTGAATCAAATTAGGTACTTTAGCGTTTTCATAACAGTGGTAATAAAATCAAAAAACAGTTTTTAAAATGAAAAATGATATTAAAAATGTCATAATTAATAAAAATGCATAAGATTGTTTTATGCGCTGTGATGCAAAGTATGAATATTTCAGTATCATACTTTATAAATAAAAAAATATTTAAAAAGCATACTTCATTTGAAAATTTCCCACTTTATTTTGTTATTCCAAATTGAATTACACAGATAAACACAAGTTGAATATAATCCATTTCTAATGACTAATTTGTGTATCGAAACGTTTAAATTTCTCGCCACATTGATACTCTATTGCGCTGTTGTCGTTACTTATTCGCGTTTATTACTTGACAAACGACAAGTCAGAAATTTTTTTCTTTCTCTCATCTATTAATCAATGATTCAAGTAAATGTCTATATTTTTTTTGTCTTGACATTTCCATTTTTTCATCCGTAATTCGATTGTAAGGGTAATAGCATTTCCCATAAGAACCTATAGTAGGATTGTATTCGATGGAAAGTAGAGCAAAAAATTGTCGGCCTTTTATCAAAGGAAAATCGTGTCATCTTTTTTAGGAGGCGTAAGATGAACCATTTCAAATTTAAAATGAAATTGAATGTAAAATTTGAAATACCGCTGCATACGCACTGTGTTCTGGTACTAGCTGTAGTCGGCCAGGTGCATCGAGTGTATGAAGTGGTCGGTCATACGTCAATACTAACCTTGCGAGCTTGATCGTAAAGCAGGGAATAATAAACAGTGGCTCGTACAGAGGTGAAACAAGTACATATGTGGAATTTAAATAACGAATTGGATTTATAATAAATTACATTTAAAACAAATAGTTTATGAGAATAAAGGGATTTTTGTAGGAACAGGGTTCCAGACGTGAACTGATCCTTTTATGACACCCCATTACGATTCTTTTTTTACAAGGAGAACGAAGTCTCAAAGCAAAAACCTTGTATAACAGATATACTATAAATATTTACAGAATGAAAACAAAAAAAAATCCTATGATATGATTCTATCAAATGAAAACACTAACAACAATTCTCTATGTATCTCAACAAAATAAGTTATTTTTCTATCAAACAAGAAATATTAACAAATTATAAACAAATATAAATTCTATGATTTATATACTGTACGCCGAACTGCATTTTTCTCATCTTCATTTAATATTAATTTCTTCTCTCCACCCCCCCTTTTTTAGGTTTCTTAACGTCTCCTTCATTTTTCTTCTCTCTTAAAATTTTGAAAACAGATGATTCGCTTACTCCAGTATATTTTCATGGGATGATCCTTTACTAAAGTGTTATAGACATTTAATATTATTGTTTTTCTCTGTAACTTAATACAGATTTTTTTGTACCCACAGCAGTACATCCGGCTTGCGAACATCCAGGCACTGCCTCCATTTCTCCATATAACGACAACAGAGCAATAATATTACAAAACACTTCACGTCACTAGCACAGAAAATATAATAGCATTCACGATTCACAAACAACAGCCCGAAACACACACACAGCACACAAATAAAACACTAATAACACTTTTGTTACGGAACACAAGAAATATGATTTCACTCACAAATTCTCAAATAATAGCGCGAAACACACATACAGCCCAAACGAAATATAATTGCACTTATAACTAGTGTTGCCAGATGGAAATTTCTGTCAACAGTAGGAATGTAACCAAAAAATCAGGAGATTTCTTTTTTCAACAGGAGATTTTGATTTTAATAAATATATTTTTTAATAGAGGAACATAAGTACATGCACAAAATATAGCAAAATATATAAATGTAGCAGTTCGTTTAATAGTGATTTGACAACTGTCAGTTGTCAAAATGATAAATCCCGGAATCCCGCTGAAGTAAAGGAACTCGCCTTCTATTCTGTTAGGCCCAGTTCATATAAACGGGAATTGCGGATTTAAAATTTAAATATGTACAGGCTGGTCCATTTTCGGTGGGATTTCAGGGTATCTCAGAAACTACTAAAGATATGATAAATCTGTCACCACGTTCTCGAGCTCGATTTTCATGGCAAATTCGACTGTTAAATAAAAAATTTGCTATCTTCATTTGTTTCTGAGTTACAAGGCGTTTCTCGTTATTGTGACACTTTTGAACATATCTGTATCTCAGCTGTTAAATAAGTTAAGAGTTAAAGTGAAAACTGCTCAAGACTAATTCTTTGGCGTAGAATTGAATGTCGGTATTAGATTTTTAGTAGGTCTTAAGATTCCGGAGTTATGACCCAAAGTTATATTTTTTTAAATGGAAATCGTAGCTGGTCATAACCTAAAAAAATGGAGATTTTTTTTTGCTTTTCAGCAACATATCATATGCTATAGTTATTTTTCCAAACACAGAAGATATCTGGTGTTTTATATATAAATTCGATTGTTTTTTTACATTTTATTATGGCCGGCTATGAAAATACATAGAAAACTATAATTCTTACTTTTACAAAACTCATATCTGTTGTAAAAGTATGACGTTTATTTAAAATATATATTTCAGATAAGAAAAGACTGTTTTCAAATTTTTATTCCACTTCAACTGAAGTTACAATATTAAACGTAAATTAAACAATAGTAAGTACCTACATCAATAAAAACTTTCAAAAATGATAGCTAAATGTTCAAATTGCCGTCCCTCAACTGTCACACATCTTACGCTTCTTCTGGCAACGCTTCGGGTAGCATTCATTAAATGTATATGTATTTGAAATATTATTAAAAGGAATTTTAAATATAATGTCTTTTAGAAAACCCTAATGGAAAAAGTCCAACGGACTCAAATCAGGTAACCTAGCTGAGTAGCCATCTGATCGGTCCGTTTGTTCCTATCCACCTATCTCCTAAAATTTCTTTAGTATTATATTATCACACGAGTATGTTGTGCATTTAAAATAAACGTCATATTTTTACAACAGATATGACTTTTGTAAAAGTAAGAATTATAGTTTTATCTGTATTTTCATAGCCAGTCATATTAAAAAGGAAAAAAATATATAATTTATATATAAAACACTCCGTATCTCCCGTGTTTGTAAAAATAACTATAGCATGTGATATTTTACTAAAAAGCGAAAAAAATCTCTATTTTTTTAGCCCATTGTCAGCTACGATTTCCATTTAAAAAAATATAACTGGGTCATAACTCGGGAATCTTAAGACCTACTAAAAATCTAATACCGGCATTCAATTCTACGCCAAAGAATTAGTCTTGAGCAGTTTTCACTTTAACTCTAACTTATTTAACAGCTGAGATACAGACATGTTCAAAAGTGTCACAATAACGAGAAACGCTCTGTAACTCAGAAACAAATGAAGATAGTAGATTTTTGATTTGACAGTCGAGTTTGCCATGAAAATCGAGCTCGAGAACGTGCATGGTGTCAGATTTATCATATCTTTAGTAGTTTCTGAGATACCCTGAAATCCCACCGAAAATGGACCAGCCTGTACATGAACTGGGCTACAGAAAATATAACAGGACTGAAAATATTGACAAGTGACGAACACAGTGCCGTTAGAGAACAGTGTCGTACTAAAATGTTCTTATTCTGGGGAAAATTAGTATAACCAACAGAAGATTTCATAGAGAAACCAGAAGAATAGACATTGAAACTAAAAAACAGGAGATCTCATAGTGAAAACAGTAGAACAGGAGAGTGAGAGTGAAAACAGGAGATCTCCTGTTAAAACAGGAGATCTGGTAACACTGCTTATAACAGTTATAACCTCACAAATTTCGCGAGCGAGAAACACGCAGCACCAATACAACCGAAACGAAACTGATCACGCCGGGCCGGCATGCGCGCCGCTGCAACAAACACAAGACACAAGTCATATGAGGGATAATGAAGGGAGTAATAAATGTATTGTGGTTGCCCTGCCGCCTAATGTGCGAAGGAGATGCCTTTGTTTTTCATTTTGTCCTTCATAAATATATAACTGTTAATCCATAATGCATAAAGAAATTATTCAATTTCCAAAACCCCCTATAAAATGTGTTGCACTGATTCCCTTGACAGGCAATGATTTATTACTTTGCATCGAATATGATCCTACTATATGTTATACAGGGTGTGCCATTTAACACTCCTGCTGCCAATATCTGAAATTAAGAAATTTGTTTTAGTTTCAGAAATTGGGGTTGTTAGGTCCCTCAAACAGCTTCAAATTGTAGTTAGAACTGTTAGTTAAAATCAGAAATCTTTCTGTATAGATGGCGTGGCGATACTAAAAAATTGTTTTGTTCCCTGGAACATGGAAATGCAGTCCATCTGAGAGATCGTTAAATTTTGAGTAATTTTTGTAATATAAAGTTTTTCCCTATATTTACTTGTTTTCGGGATATGTCGACTTCAATATACAATGTATGATATAACAGGAAAATCTATTATTTTATCTAAATCACACCGAGACAATATATTCTTTTAAAATATTGTTATAATGACTTTATTCACACCTCATACTAACTAACAAGCAATAAATTATAAAAAAACAAACGATCAACTACAGAAAAAAAAGTTGTACAATGGTAAATCGTATAACTAGTATAGTTAAATTGAAAGACGCAAACTGATAAAACTGTAATTATTGGAAAACTAATATGTGTCATCTGTCATTGTTTTATACTAAACAAATGACATAAGCCACCTATGACTGCATTTTTTAATAACATTTGATAAAATGCGGTTTGTCTCTGACCCTTTTAAGATTTATCATTGTACAATTTTTTTTCTGTAGTTGATCATTCGTTTTTTCTTTATAATTTATTGTTTGTTAGTTAGTATGCGATGTAGAGATGGGCAATGGGAAATTTTCCGTCTCGGAAAGTTTCCAAAACGGAAATTTTCCGGGAAGAAATAATCGAAGCTTGAGAAATTTTCCCTGGAAAGTCTGAAAAAATTTACATCGGAAATTTTCCGGGAATATTTCTAACAATTTGTAAACTTGGAGCCAATTTTACTTCTAACTTCTATGAACATACACAAAAAATCGTTGGTTAATTTCGGATTTTCGGTTAATTCTGAATACCAGAAGACCATATTATCCAAATAAGTTAGAAAAAACTTACACTTACTTATTTTAATCTTTGTTAAGTCTACAATCTACATAATAGAGAGCAATACAAGACTCATAAATTACCTCCTCTTCAAATTTAATATGAATTTTCATAGTTGAACCAAAGTACAATTACATTTTAAAACTAGTATAATTATTGAATGTATTTACTATTTGTTTGTTAAAAAATAAAGATAAATATTGTATACTGCATAGTGTTTACGCACTGTAACCCTCAGCATGTAATTTTTTCTAAGGGTGATTAATACATAATTTATATTTTTCCAATATTTATACCAATATAAATAAAAATGTTTATAAGTATTTGGTCTTTTTGGAAAGCTGATGGTATGTAGAACACAATACCAAATCCAAAAAAAAAAAATTTTGAAATTTTCGGAAAATTTCCCGAATTTTCAATGGAAACTTTCCAGGAATTTTCATAGTTTGGGAATTTTCCCATTACTAATGCGATGTGAATAAAGCGATTATAACAATATTCAGTGTGATTTAAATAAAATAATAGATTTTCCTGTTATATCATACAAAAACAAGTAAATATAGGGAAAAACTTTATATTACAAAAATTACTCAAAATTTAAGGATCTTCCAGATGGACTATATTTCCACGTTCCAGGGAAGAAAAAACTTCTTAGTATCGCTACGCCTTCTTCAGAAAGATTTGAACTAATAATTCTAACTCCAATTTGAAGCTATTTGAGGGACCTAACAACCCCAATTTAAATGGTTAAATGGCACACCCTGTATATTCAAATTTTTGACAATAATTAAAAACAAAAACAAATCGATAAATAATTCGAGAATACAGTAAGACCCCGCTTAACGCGTAGGATACGTTCCATCAAAGTAGAGCGTAATGCGAAACAGCGCTAAATGAGGCTATCTTAACATGTAAATAATGGGGTTAGGGGAAGATGGATAGAAAATTGGTTAGGTATTAAATTTAATAATTATGTTTTTTTTAATAAAAATAAAACCAAACATTTATTTCTTACAAAAATAAAAACAATATAAACGAATATTACTTATAAAAACAAATAAAATTCTAAGTCAGTCAGATCATTCAGTCTATTCTGTTTTTCCAATTTTCTGCCTTTATGTCAAGAAGGCATCTAATGTAGTTTGCGTTTTCCTTTTGCGTTCTGTTAGAAGTTGTTGATAAGTGGATAAAGCATCTATAACACCCCGTCTTGCTTTTGAACTCCTGTCAAAATTTGGAACATTTTCAAAAAATTTGTCCATAATTTCAGTTATATCAACTGATAAAAATGCGTCCGTACAGCACCGCACCAAACAAGAAACACAACTACACTGTTTCGGATAGGTTATGTACATACATATTTGGAAACCTAGAGCTGCGCACAATTTCGGGGAATCCCCGTAGTGCTGCGAGCAATTTCGGGGAATCCCCGAGTTGAAATAAAAGTGCGCTAAACCGAAACAGCGCTAAATAAAACAGCGTTAAGCGGGGTCTTACTGTAATTCCTTAAATCTGTACGGATTTAATTCTTCAGATTTATCTGTCCATGTGCGGCTAACTAATGATTACCTAATTCATTTTAGACCACTTAACGGATCAACTTCAGGTGCTAGTGGAAGTGGTACCCAGAGTAACACAGAAAGTGCACAGAGGTCTCCAAATCAGTCAGAATCTTCTACACCCGGAGGAGCTACTCCGAGATCATCGTCTACCGAAAATTTAGCTTCAGAATCAAGGTCAGAAAGTAATAGTGGTCTACCAGAGTAAGTGTCTAGTTAGAATTATTACTGATAATATAAATAAAAAAAGTAGAATGTAGTCCTAACTGCTTGGGTTTATTTTAACAGAAATGCTTCGAGGACATCAGAAATGTCCGAACTTTTGACCATGCTGACACAGTTGCAGACGAGATTTGCACCGTTTTTAGAACGGTATCAGAATTTTATGCAGGAGGACCCAGAGGTTTCTTCCGAGGTTTGTAGAATTTCGTTTTGTGTTTGTAAATTTTTTTTGATGTGTTTAAAATTTGGTTTTCAGAACGAAAGGCAGACTCAGATCATGTTGAACCGCGTGTCTGAAGTGTTGCATTTCCTGGGTCACGCCTACCACTCCCTGAGCGACATAATAATCCGTGTCCGGACGCCACCACCTAGACCGCTCCTGTGTCGTCCAATTCTCATTCAACACTCAGCAGTGGTACAAACTGGTATTCCAATCCAAGTCGAGGTAAATATTAAATTAATTTTGTGGTTGTAATTTCCTAATAGCGGACACCCATTGGGAAATCTTCAAATACATTTTTTTTAACCTCAAATTATCACCGACACTTCCAACAAGTTTTTTACATTAATTTTCAGACAGAACAAAAAAATTTCAGCATGTTTGTAAAGAGCATTGGAATAACCTTTAAAATGGCGTGCCACTCCGTTTAGGAGGATGACCTTACATCCACGAATTTATGATCAAAAGATCTTGAAAGCAAAATCAATATGTTTTGGGTTTTCTGGAAAAACCTGTTACATTGAAAATATTTCAGGTGGACTGTTTTAATTGAACCACCCCGTATGTATATTTTCTTGTCTTGAAAAATAATGTCTGCATCCATTTTATAGAGGGTCTGTCATTAAGGGATGGTAATATTAAGGAAACCTCATTTTGGAATCCCGTGAAAGCAAATTTGTCCGTTATTTAGGAGTATTCGCTATACAGAAGTGTTCCTATGAACATAGTGATTTCACTATATATTTTTTTTCTTCAGGCACAAATTAATGTATCGGCTGATCGAGCTCCTCCGCCTAACACTAATGCCCCTCAGGCTGCCAATTCAAATTCCGAGACCACTGCTACCACCACAGCTCCACCAAACGTTAGTAGTACTGTAAATGCTCCCAATGGAGGACCCACTATTTCCGTTCAGCCTGGATTTGTCGGTTTGCCCTTCTTACCGGGTACCGCCATGAGGGTACAGTCGTTCCCTCTTGAAATTCGCACTGTGAGGCCCGCCGCTGCCGCCGCCCCTCAGCCACAGAACAATAATAATAACACCGTTAACGTATCCGAGGGCATTCCTGTTACCGCAGGGGCAGCTCCGACTACCGCCAGCACTACCACTTCCACTGCGCAGGCGGCCAACGGTAGCCAAGAAAGTGGCGGTCAGGGAGGTTCGTTCAATTTCAACCCAAACGTCGAGTTCTTCATGGAAGTGACACCAGAAGGTATTACAATAGATTCTTTGGAGACTGCGCTTGTTGGTTCTAATCAAGCAAATGATTGTAAGTGTTGTGACTGTCCATGCTAACTATATGTATGCATAAGTGGTGATGTTTGAATGACCGATATTGTCTTAGAATCAACATATTTTTTGCCTCGTGATTCCACATATCAGTTCAATTGTTTTGTTTTCATAATTGTAAAGGTGCAGAGGATTTCATTGCTATAACTGTATTTTCCAGTGTGGGTACACATGCCGCAAGTGACGCATTTTTAAGTACATGCACCAGAGTTCTCGGAAGACGACCCCGGCAGATTGGCGCCAAGGACCAGGTACTTCTGCGAACGACTCGACACCAAGAGGGACTCTCCAACCGACAACACGTCTTTTTTCACAAGCTTAGTTTTAAATAAAAATACTTTTTGTACCATTGAGAGAGCGTTTTATTTTTTCTGTACAAATTAAAACGCTCTCTCAACGGTACAAATAAAGTATTTTTATTGAAAACTAAGCTTGTGAAAAAAGACATGTTTTCAATTCAAGTGTTTGCTGGAGTGTCCCTCTTGGTGTTGAGTCACTTGCAGAAGTACCTGGTCCTTGGAGCCAATCTGCCGGGGTCGTCTTCCAGGAACCCTGGTGCGTTAGGATGGCGCTATTGACGTTGTACTTAAAAATGGGTCACTTGCGGCATGTTTACCCACACGAGGGTTAATGGATGACAAATTTTAGTCAGTCACACGTCAAAATCAGGGTGTTTAGGCATAGAATTGCCATAAAAATATTCATGTGCTAATTTGAATATTTGTAACTTCAGTATATCAGAAACGAGTCAAAATTTTTCCAAAACCGAACTCATTTTCATTGGAAGAGAAACATGACTTATTTTCCTAAACTGGAACTATACAGGGTGTAACTTTAAGTGGGGGGGTCAGTTTTTTAGGTGTTCCCCTGAATACAAATCTGAATCTTTTTTGTTTTTTTAATCGAAAAGTCGAGTTATAATTAGTTTTTTAAAATGCACTTTAATACTTGTGTATGCCGCCACTGTAATATTCATGTATTACAAATACTTGAATTGTACGCAATCTACAGTGCGTGTGAAGGGAAATAGTGCGGGTCAACGGTGACAAAGCAAAGGGCGTCGTCATTCCGCATTTGTAGACAATACATCTAACTGGGAATTTGAATATTTTTCATCGCTAGATTACTGCTCGAGTTTTTTTGCTATGTTACTTGTTAAGTACTGTGGCGAACGCCCACTCAACAAAAGTAACTCGTGGCTAGGGAATCCCAGCCCTTATAGTCCAAGCATTCTGTCACGGATTAATGTTAAATTTGCAGAAATTATTACCTGGACAAAAAAAATATGACCGTATAGAAAATTAAATTTTAAATTGAGTTTCTTGTTCTTTAAACTCGATCCAATATGGCGAACATGGTTAAAAATAATCGCAAAGTTGAAAAAAACGGTTTTTCTAAAATAACTAAAAAAATATAGCACGGATTGAAAAATTTTAAATGAGAAAGTTGTAGGTTTTAAAAAGATCTATCGACTGATTTTTTGAAAGTATCGATTGCTTTGTTACTTTTCGAGATATATCGAAAAAACCGTTAAAAATCTTCTCTTTTCTCTTCTTCTATAACTCGTTTACATTTACGTGCCCATATTTGCTATTTACTGCAAGCATAGCCCGCGGCAAGCCAAAAAAGTACATTTTTGAAAAATTTAAAAATATTAATTATTTTTCGAGATATATCGATTTTTTGAAAAAAAGGCGCTCTCGAAAATTGGCTAGATCTTCTCAGCGGATAGCCCTACAGTAACGATTTTCGGTTTATTTTCTTCGTAAAGAGTTATATTATCATGCTGTTAAAAAATGTTGACGATTTTATTAATTTTAAGGATCAAAAAATGACTGAAAAAGTTGCACTTTTTTTGGGTATGTTTTTTTCAAATAACTATTTCAATTTTTATTATTTTTTTGTACTTAATCTGGGGTAGCTAAACACGAATATTATAGCATTTTCGCCTTAGAAGCAAAATAGACCCGTAAATGTTTAGTTTTCTTTCTTTAAAAGTCATTTTCATAAAATAAAAATTGAAATAGTTATTTGAAAAAAACATACCCAAAAAAAGTGCAACATTTTCAGTCATTTTTTGATCCTTAAAATTAATAAAATCGTCAACATTTTTTAACAGCATGATAATATAACTCTTTACGAAGAAAATAAACCGAAAATCGTTACTGTAGGGCTATCCGCTGAGAAGATCTAGCCAATTTTCGAGAGCGCCTTTTTTTCAAAAAATCGATATATCTCGAAAAATAATTAATATTTTTAAATTTTTCAAAAATGTACTTTTTTGGCTTGCCGCGGGCTATGCTTGCAGTAAATAGCAAATATGGGCACGTAAATGTAAACGAGTTATAGAAGAAGAGAAAAGAGAAGATTTTTAACGGTTTTTTCGATATATCTCGAAAAGTAACAAAGCAATCGATACTTTCAAAAAATCAGTCGATAGATCTTTTTAAAACCTACAACTTTCTCATTTAAAATTTTTCAATCCGTGCTATATTTTTTTAGTTATTTTAGAAAAACCGTTTTTTTCAACTTTGCGATTTTTTTAAACCATGTTCGCCATATTGGATCGAGTTTAAAGAACAAGAAACTCAATTTAAAATTTAATTTTCTATACGGTCATATTTTTTTTGTCCAGGTAATAATTTCTGTAAGCATTTTTCTATAATGCTTGGACTATTATTTCTAATCCCGGGATTTCGGGATTATACTTAGTCTGTCCCGGGATCCCGGGATTATTTCTGTATTGAACCGGTTTCGGACTTATTAGTCCTCATCAGTGTCTCATAAATGAGACAACCGACGAACGATCCAGCTGTTTTGCATTGTATCGTCATGACAAAAAAAACACTGTACGCGGGAGCGCAAATGGCTCCATCTGTCGTGCTGACTTCCAACTGTGCCATTCAGATGGCTACAGTAGGAAGCGACCTGCTATATTGCAGGTACTTGTTGCATGACTGCCACCCACAAAGGGCGAAGTCGATGTTTTAAGTAGTTGTTTCTCGAAACACTGACAATTAAAACATCATCTTCGCCCTCTGTGGGGGGCAACAAGTACCTGCAATATAGCAGGTCGCTTCCTACTGTAGCCATTTGAATGGCACAGTTGGGAGTCGGCACGACAGATGGAGCCATTTGCGCTCCTGCGTACAAGAATCAACATATTTTACGGTATATTCCTAGTTAATCTAATTACTCAGATTTGACTTAGAGTGAGACTGACCAGACTTAAAATCACTCAGTGTTTATGTTAGTTATTCTTTTTCAAGAATCGGTGAGATTTCTTTAAATTTACATAAATTGAAAAAGCCTTCATGTAGCAAACTATGCAAATAACTGAAAATTTAATCGGGGCGAATTTGGCCAAACACACGCCTGTTTCAAAAATCAGACCTATGTCGAATTTTATGGGCTTAAAATTAAGTAAAAAACTGAACAAAAGCCTAAATTTGTGTATCTGTAGAGGTTGAGGGTCATTTTTTTTACAACCAAAGAAATAAAAAAAATTTTTTTTAGTTTTTCACTTATATCTCCGAAAGTAAGCCTCTAATCAACATGAGGTATACTTGTCGATTTTGTTCCTGAGTAAATTTACTACAAGAGTAGGCTTTTGCAAAAGCTCACAAAAATTTTTTACATTGCAAAATTAGCAGTGAAAATAAAGTGCAAAATTCTCAGAATTAAATAAAAAGAACAAATTTGACTAAAATTGGAAATTGGAATTGGAAAAGATAACTGTGGGGTGATCAACAAATACCCGCAATCCGGACCCCCAATTTCAAAATGGCGGCCTATTGCAAAATTATAGTCGAAAACGCAAAAACTGCCTATATCAAAAAATTGAAATTCGGTAAAGTAGTATCGAAAGGTAATTACATATCTCGTGTCTGTGTAAATTTCAGATTTTTAAGTTCCAAAATAAAAAGTTATTGACAAAAAACCAAAAAAAAAACGGTAACTAGGGTCCTTATTTTGGCGGTTTTTCAATATATACAGATTTCAAACTAATTGTATCAAATAGTGCTTGAAAAAAAATGAATTCTTTTTCATTGGATCGTTAAAGACAGCGTGACCCGTGCGGCTGAGCTGTAGCTTAGAGAGGGGAGCGCTTTGACGTCATAGTGACCACGCTGCGCTCGCCTTCTCAAAATTCTTACTTAACAAATTTATTGTGGCACTTAGAAAGCAGCTACCGGGATGCTTTTTTTAAATCAACTTATTTTTTTCCGCTCTCGAATGGTGTAAGCAAAAGTCTGTGAAAGTCATCGCCAGACCCCGAAAAGTACACGTTTTCTTTTGTCTTTTCATTATGCTTTCGACATTTTGACAAGTAAGAAGGTCTTTTTACGTATTTAAAAAGAAAAGTTAATTATTTCTTTGAAAAAAATGATCAGTGCTCTATTAATATTAAGTTTTTACGACCGAATTTGAAAAAATAAACTATTGATACGTGTTTCTAAAGGTCAAAGGAACCCTCTGTATAAATTCGACCCCCACTTAAAGTTACACCCTGTATTACACTTTTTAAATTTTTACGGTTTATTAAAACAATTGTCATACATCAACTGGACCAATTAGATTTGATCCAGAATTTTCAGGGGCATACCCAGTGAGTAAGTTTTTTTTTCACCTTGTAGTTTTTTCGAGGTTTTTATGTAATATTCAGATAAACTCACTCAAATTAATACATTTGTGTCTCTTGATTCTTTTTAGTCTCTCGCTTCGTCTTCGAGAACCTGCAAAAAAAAAAAACGACTTGTTCGCTGGGTACGTTTCTGAAAATTCTGGATCAAATCTAATTGGTCCAGTTGATGTATGATAATTGTTTTTATAAACCGTAAAAAATTCATTCAAATCGGATAAAGAATTTTTTTTAACTCAATTTAAAAAAAAATATCACCCCGTATCTCGAAAACGAAGCACTTGCGGACCTATGTTCATATGAACTTTTTTACATATTTTACTGAGCGGAATCTCCCC